CTCAAGCCGCCGCCGCACCTTGCAAGGCGCCAATCGTCGCCAAGATCGTCGCCGCGCTCAAGGCCCACCCGCTCGTCAAGAGCGCGCCGCACAAGCCCGGCGTGATTGCGTTCTCGCAAAAGGCACCCGCGTCGCCGAGCGCTAAGGTCGACGACGACTATGACGCCTTTTTGACGAGCCAAGTGGCTATCTTTACCACGCGCATGCAAACGTCCATTGACAAGAACGTCGCGTACTTTGACACGGACGTCAAGTCGATGGTCGAGGTGCCTGCCACGTGGGACCACGGGACCGTGGTCGACGAGATCGTCCGCCGACTGCGCGAGAACCCGACCGTCAAATCCATTCTCGACGCCAAGGGCCGCGTCTGTTTTACGCGCCGTGTACCCGCGTCGACCATCTCGTTCGATGCGTTTCTCCAAGAGCGCATCGCGTACTTTATCGATCGCATGCGCACGGCGACGACCCACGGCCGCGTGTACTATTCCACCGACATTCAAGGCCGCATGCTGGTCCCCGACCACCTCGATGCAGATGCTGCGTACGCGCGGGTGCTCGCGGCGCTGCAAGCGTGCGCCGATGTGGTGGCAACGACGGACGCGACGGGCCGTGTCTCATTTACGGCCCTCGCGTCGCCGGCGCGCAGCGTGGCTTCGGCAGCCGACGCTCCGTCAGCATCGATTGTCGAGCTCATGATTACGGATGACGTCGCTCGCTTCCGAGTGCAGCTGCACGCTGCGTTGACCTCGTCGTCGGGCGGCAGCTTTCCCGTGCGCAACGTGCGCAAGCAGATGGAAGACCACGGGTACATCTTATCGACCAGCATTTTTGCGATCGTCCGGACCATATTGCACTTGCTGCTCGAGGACCCGGCGATTGCGATTGCGGAGAATGGTGCCAAGCTCGTGCGCGTGCCAGGCGCTGTCCTTGCACCGCTCACGACGCCGTCGCTGACGCCGCTGCAACTTGTGACGCTTGAGACGGCCCGCCGCGTCTTTACCGCGCCCGTGTACCTCGGCGACGTCTCCAAGGAGCTCGCGACCCTCGGCTTGTCTCTCTCGGCATCGCTCAAAGCAGTGCTGGCCATGTTGCAAGTGCGCGACTGTTTTGCGATGGACGAGAACGGCTTTATCAACGTCAACCACGCCGCGTGGGCAAGAGAAGTCGAAAAGTACATTGGCAGCCAGCCCGCCGAGCGCAAGCAGCCCATCTCGAGTTTGACGGCCCGGACGCTGCGCTCTCCGCCGCTGTCTCCGGCGGTACCCACCGACGCACAGTCGCCGACATCGCCGTCGATCGACGCGTTTGTCGAGATGAACGTCGCGTTCTTCACGCAGCGCATGCTCGAACGGACGCGGGACGGCGGCGTGTACTACGTCGGCGACACGCAGGCACTGCTGCAAGCCGGCGGGCCAAACTATAGCGTCAAGGCCTTTGCGCGTATTTTAAAGGCACTGCGGGCGCATCCGGACGTTGTCTACCAGGTCGACGGTGACGGCAACGGCTTCTTTACGCAGGTTGTTCGCGACGACGTCGACCAGTACGTTGCGCAGCATGCGTCATTGTACTTGGGTCAAATCACCGACTATATCGCGGGTGGCAACTGCTTCTTCACCTCGTACCTCCCGAGCCAGCTGCGCGCCATCGTCCCGGACACGGTGCCGATCGAGCCGGTGGTCGGTGCCGTCGTTGCGTCCCTCGAGCACAACCCGCGCTTCCGCTTGGAGACGGACAGTACAGGACGGGCGTATTTTACGACAGGTCAGTCGCGTCTTGTCGACACCGACGTTCAGAGCCAAGGTGCGACCTGTCTGCATATTCTTTTGTATCTATGCCATTCATTTCGTTTGTAGCGTCGAGTGAGGTTGAACCCGAGCCGTCGGTCAGTGACGCATCATCCACAAAAGCCATGCCGACAACAACGTTTGCCAAGCTCGTGAAGGATCTCACGGCGCGCTTTTCAGTGCAAATGATGCTAACGATCGAGAGCAAGCACACCCGCTTCCACGTCTCGTACCTTCGGGGCGAGCTCGGCAAGACTTTCCAAGGCGTCTGTCTCGCCCAAGGCCATGACGTTGCCAAGCTGACGGCCGCCATTGTCGAGCAGCTCAAGAAGGACCCTCGCGTGATCTACGATGCGTCGGCCGCCGTCTTTGTCAAGAACCCCAATGCCACAAACATCAAGAGCACCAACGCAACGGACGTCAAGACTGCGAACGCAGTCGACACCACGAGCCTGGACGCAACGGACGTCAAGACGCACGCGGCCGCGCTGCTCAAGCGCATTGTAAAGCTACCGCTGACCATCAAGCGCTTTTACGTCGAGTTCATTCCAGGCGTCGGCGACTACAAGACAAGCGCGCTCGCCCGCGCCATTGTGGCCGAGGTTGCCAAGGACACGCGCTATGTCTTGCGCACAGCAGGCGTGCCCCGGCCGTACTTTGAGAGAAAGGACGAGGCCAACGCACTTGGTGTCAAGTCGACACCGGCCCGCGCCCCGTCCCGCGCCCCGACAGCGCAAAGCCCGCCAATGGACGACGTGGCCAGCAACGACGAGACCTCGAACGGGCCATCCGTTGTTTCGACGGCCGAGCAGCTTGGACACACGGTCGGTGCTCTGGACGCGGTGCAGTCGCCGTGGACTCCGAGCACCGTGGCCCTCGACGCGCATGGTGCGTGGCCCCACGTTCTTCTCCAGGTGGCGTGCGACAATACTGTCGTTCTCATTGACGTCGAGAGCACGGGAGCGGACGCTGTGCGCACGGCGCTGCGCCCGATGCTGGCGTCGACCGCTGTCACCAAGGTCGTTTACGGCGCCCACCGCCTCGCGTCGACGATGGCTCAGCTTCTTGACGACCCGATTCCGTCCATTGTCGACTTGGAGCTCCTCTTCGAGCACCGGACGACTCGCTTCAATGTCCCGTTTGCCAAGATGCTGTCGCTACTCGGACTACCCGCGCACCCGCATCCCCGGTACCTCGACCGACCCGACTATTTTGATCAACGGCCACTCCGCGCCGAGACGACGCAGGCTGCCGCCGCCACTGTATCTCGTTTGCTGGACGCCTACTGCTCCTTGGAAGATGACGTCAGCTGCGACCGCGATCAACTATTGACCGCCTCCAACCAGCGACTGCATCAGGCGATCGCTTCCGATGGCCAGCGATCGCTCTGCTTTGACGCGCAACACAACCAGCGCCTTGTCTCGACCGAGTACCTCCAGGCGTGGCGGCCCCACGACGTTGTCTCTAGTCCGCCGGTGGTCATCCACGAAGACTTGGACGACATTTTGGGGTTGCTGCCACCTGACCTCGCGGCACCTCTGCTCCAACCCGACGTCAGCGCCAAGCTGCTCGACATCGTCTTGGACCTCGGACGCCGACCGTGGGCGTGGGTCAATGGCGCGCGTTTCTTCCTCGACACTTCCAATCAGGATCGCGTCGTCACAAGAGACGACCTGGATTCGATTGTCGACCGCATTGGCGGCTTTGGCAGCGACAACCGCGCCGGTCTCGAGCGCCAACTACACCGACATCTCGGCACATTCGCAACCGCCAAGACAATATAATCGCGCTCACAATCCGCGTCGGCCGGTAACATTGAGGGCAACGCGGGCTTGATAGACACGAACAAATTGGCGAAGGAAGACAAGAAACATTTTTTTTCCTCGGGGAAACCTGGGTGGCGGCAAAACCACCATCGTCCGCGAAGTCTCTCGGCAGCTCGCGACCAAGTACAACGTCTGCATCGTCGACACGAGCAACGAGATTGCAGGTACTGCTCTTTATCTTGTACTGGTAGAAAAGAAGAACCCTAACCTCACTCTGATCTCTAGGCGACGGCGACATTCCGCATCCGTGCGTGGGCTTGGCGCGGCGCATGATGGTGCCATCGCTCAACGACCAAGCCGCGGTCATGGTCGAGTGTGTCCAGAACCACACGCCCGAGGTCATGGTCATCGACGAGATTGGCCGACCGAGCGAAGTCGAGGCCGCGCGCACGTGCAAGCAGCGCGGTGTGCGCATCGTGGCCTCGGCGCACGGCGACCTGCGCAAGCTGCTCAAGAACAAGCCGCTGCGAGGGCTTGTGGGCGGCGTCGAGTCGGTGACGGTCGGCGACGCATTGGCCAAGGAAAAGCAAAAGAAGGACGACAATGGGCCGCTGCGGAAGCTGTTGGCACAGCGCGGTGGCGAGCCGATCTTTGAGGTGATTGTGGAGCTGCGTCGCGGGCAGTACAACGCGTGGCGCATCGTGACGGACGCCGCGTCGGCAGTCGATGCCATCTTGGCCGGCGAGGCGTACGAGGCTCAAGTGCGGACGCGGGCGACCGACGGCTTTTACTACAGCGAGCAGAAATTCTAATTGAACTTTGTTTTTGGATTTCACAGTCTGAGAGCACATGCATGCGATGGTATTGCGTCGAGGACTGTGCATTGGATTAGGATTGGGGTCCTTGCGTAGCTATAGGTTGATGGCTATAAGTTTAAACTTCTTAACCCGATCGGACGTGGATTAGCGGCCAAGAGCTCCCACCAAGTGTTATGCGAACGAGCTCGGTGGACAATCAAAGCCATACGAGTGGGATTGAAACTCAAGAATAATAGAAATCCTGTAAACTATTCAACATACAAAATGACAGGCATAGCATTGAACTTTTAAAAACCATCTTGTTCGCACCGGAATAAAAAACAGAAGGATCTGGATAAAAAGTATCAAGTTGGCCCAACGAGACGCCGCTGGCAGATTGCAATGGGCGGTGTTTTCAGCACCAGCGCGGCCAGCAAGGTCCGCGCCGACGACGCGCCGAGCGCCCGCGACGCCGTCCGCTGCCCGCCTGCTCAGCCCGTGCCTGTTGCCGAGCCTGTCGCCGAGCCTCGTCCGGTCCCGGAGAGCCGCGACGAGACCGCAGATGCCCCTGTGTCGACGCCAGAAAATGAGCGCACACTCTACGATGCGCTGGTCGTGCATCTTGCGGCGTCTGTGCGAGCAGCAATGATCGTCCAGGCCACGAGGAACCGGCGGCCGTCGTTCGCCGTGGCCACGATAACGAGCATGGTCGAACAGACGACGTACGTGCCGAGTGGCGAGATCACCGCCGTGACCGCGACCATTGTGGAGCTGCTGGTCGCCGAGCCAGGCATCGCGCTGCATCCCTCGCGCAAGTACTTCGTCTTGGATGCAACGAAACTCACGCCAGACACGGGCGCTGCTGGCGCGAGCACGGACGCCTCGGACGCCATGAGCGCGCTCGTGCGACGCCTGGCGCAAGAGATCGCTTTGAAACCCGTGACGCACGCGGCCATCGGCAAGCACGCCAAGAATGCACTTGCGCACTGCGCTGGGCTCTCCAACACTCAGGCCAGGCGCGTCGTTGTCCAGCATCTGCGGCGTCTCGGCTGCATCGCGAGCGCGACGGACGGCAGCCCCTGCCTTGCCATCAACGCAGCGCGCTTGCAAGACCCCGCTGCTTCATTTCCCGACTTGACCTTTCTCCTCTCGCTACCGTCAATGCCGCGTCGTTGCCGCTCGGCCGCGCGAGCTCCAAGGTCCGACGCCTCGGAGGCTGTCGTGCATGTGACTCGCTCCAGCGACGACGCGGGTCGTTCGCTCTACGATGCGCTCCTCGAGCACTTGATCGTGCACCTGCATGGGGCGGTGCACAAGGCGATCCAGGCCAAGAAGAAGCAATTCAAGCTGCACAAGCTGTCGAAAATCCTCACAAAAGCGGGCTATGTCGACGACGTTCCGAGCACGTCTGCGTACATTCTGCGGCGCCTTCTTGCCGACCCGAGCTTGCGGCGCGGCGGTGCGCTCAACGAGTTGCTGGTCGCCGCGTCACCCAACAATCCGCCGCCTCTACCGAGAACACCCGAGACGACGATCGACACGAGCGTATCCGCCCTCGTGGAGCACTATGGTCGGAAGATCGCCATTGCGCCGCAAGCTACGATGAACCTTGTGGGCGAGCTACACGCCCGCTGTGGCGATCCAGAGACGGCCCAGACCGTGCTGGACACGCTGCGGGCGACAGGCTGCGTGATCGATGTCCTTGCGACGACGACAAAGCAAACACCGAGTCTCGGCATCAATCCCGCACTTGTGCGACAGCCGCTGGCGTCGTTCCAGCACATGTCCTTCCTGCGCTCCGTCGCCTCGGTGCCGGCGCTGGCAACCGCTTGTGTGCGAACGGACGCTCCAGACGGCGCCCATGTGGCAAGCGACGACGTGCTACAGCACGTTGCCGTCGAGCTGGCGACGCTGCCTCCACGTCCCGATGCGCGTGCACCGGTACCAACACCACCGTCGCCGCCAACTGTGCAAGAGCCAAGACGCCCGGACGTCGACGGCAGCAACGATGTTGCGTCCGTTGTGCGGCGGTTTGAAGCCGCGTATCTCGATGCGATCGTCGCCTGGGTCCAGAACGGGGACGTCTTTTATGTCTCGTACATTCGATCTCAAGTCCGTCCGCTCATGTCGCCGGACATGCCCATGGACGCGGCCATTATGGCCATCGTTTCTTGGCTGACGCAGCACCCGCAGCTCGTCTTTTGTCCCTCGGACCGGCCGTGCTTTGTTGGCAGCGGCTTTCCACCGCCCGACGACCGCGTGGATCTCACGCCGCCTCGCTCGACGACGACGATGGACGATGACGACGTCTCGCTGGCAGGTAGGCCACCCAATCGGATCAAGACGCACGTACATGTAGACAGTGACGAGGATGGCGCGTCCGAGCCCGAGACGGAAGAGGCGGCGGTCTCTTCGCCGTTGCGAACCAAAGCGTGGTCGGGTGCCAGCGCCCGCCGCGTCATTGCGGGCTACGTGCACGAGGTCGTGGCAAATATTGCTGTGGGAGACGTCTACAACTCGGCGCGTCTCGAGCAGGAGCTTGGGCTTTTGGCACTTGACGACGTGGATCTGGCGGACGCCGTCGACGCCGTCGCCTCGACCTTGCAGACAATGCCCCACATTATCGACAGCTCCACCAGCGGCAACAACGACGATTGGACGTTCCGCAAAGCCATCCTTCGCAGAGGTGCGACGACTAAAAAGCCAACAACGTCGGCCAAGCAAACTACGCGTATGGCGCCATGGTACAAGAAGTGAGGTTGCATTTTGAAGCATTTACTTGGCTATGTGTTTTGATTTTTGCATCAATCCCACGCGACTTGAATCTGACCACGACCACCCTCGAGCCGCTTCGTGCCCCAAATCGTATTGGAAAATGGAATCGCTTAAACATGGAATAGTGATAGAGGACACTATGATGGTTACGAAATGCTACTTCATGCACGCCGTGTACATACATACTAGTAAGCTGGAGGCGCTGCGTCGGCGATGCTCTCGGCTCGGTTAAAAGTGGCAGTTTGCTAGTTTTATTCGTGGCATATGCCGCAAACAATATTCGATTGCTTACAATTGTCGTCATCCGCTTCGCACGCCGACGCGGAGTAGCATTTCGTGACCTCCAAAGTGTCCTCTATCAATGTGCCAAGTTGAAGGGACTTCATTTTCGAGCGCGACGTGGCACACGAAGGTGGCCGGTTTGCAGTTGCGTGTGATTGGTCTAAAATACAAAATTAAATAGCCAATAAGATACAGAAAATACAATCTTGCTTTCTGCACCGCGTCGCTGGTGCTTTGCCGCCATCATTTCCTTTTTTCTTGGTCATGCCTGTGGGCAACAGCCCATTGCGCGGGCTAATGGCGGTACATATAGCCTTTTCGTGCAAACCTTAATACTGCTACGGAACCGAGTCTTAATCTTACGTCAAGCGTCTCGAGCACAAGTGCCTCGACACGCCTGACGATTTGAATTTCTCGAGCACAAGTGCCTCGACACGCCTGACGATTTGAATTTGACATGACTATGGTTAATACTATCTATGGAGTTATCGACAATGGGAGGCATATGTACTACGAAGCCGTGCGGCAACCCACAACGTTGTCGGTAGCAAGGGGGCCCGACTCGACGAGTTGGACGTCGTTGGTGATGGCTTCAATGGACACCTCGTCGCGACGCAAGCGCTCCCGCAGCTGCTTCACCCCGCGCTTGAGCGACGCCCACGTCGTGTCGGCTTGGCGCAGTGGCCAGAGGAAGACAAAAACAACGGCGTTGAGAAGAAGGAGCACGCCAAGAACAACTGCCAGTGTTCGCGCGTCACGTCGGGCGGGGGCCTGGAGCGTATGGCCAAAGCACTCGCTCATCGACGGCTTCCCGTACGGCAGCGTGTCGTCGTCCCACATTTTGCGACGTTGGTTGGTCTCCGCGTCGATCGGGGTCCAGGCGTCGGAAGGGTGCGCTCTCGCCATGCAAAAGAGGCCCTCGCTGCGCGCGACCGTGAGCGGGCACGTCGTCTGAATGTACGAGGCGACGTCGGCGTACTGCGTCGGCATCGGCTTCATGAGCTCGGCGCAGCTGACGCAGACGTCTCGGAGCGTCATGTTGTCGCTGCGGGACAGCGCCAGCGCCGTCGCGTCGGCTTGGGCGCAGAAGCTGTTGATGGTCGTCGAGTGCGTGATTGGGACGTTGGCAAAGGTCGTCGGCAAGGTCGCCAGCGCTGCGGTCACGGCGCGCGTGGCGTTCTTGTTGCGCCAAATGCCCGGCAGCGCGATCGATGACGTGAACGGGAGCTTGTCGCAAAAGGTCTTGCCTTGGCCGAGGCAGTACGCAGCATCAAACGTCCTTGCCGCCGCCTTGGAGTAGTTCGCCTCCATGAGCTCCCAGTTGGGGACAATCGCGTAGGCAGTGCGGGGGCTTGTCGCGAAAAGGCCGCCGGGGAGCCACTCGAGGTACCCCGCGTCTTCTGCCCAATAAAAGACAGTCCCCGGCTCCAGGTTGAGTAGCGTGTCGACTTGATGTTGGTACGACGTGAAGAGCACCGTCACTTCAATGTTGGTCTGGACGAGCGCAATTCCATCCAGGACGAGGGCAAAGAGACTGGCGTACGCGGCCACAAACATGAAAATGACGACGAGCTGCACCTTGCGGCGCACGCGCGGCTGGACGAGCGAGCAGAGCCCGACCGCAGCAAACAAGAAGAGGACGATGGCGGCGGCTCGGGCGGCCTGCGCGTGCGCGACCTCAAATAGCGAGACGAGCCATGCGTTGGAGACTTGGTAAGCGACGACGCCTTGGGCAATTGCGAGGCCGACAGCGACGGCGACGACCGTGGTCGCGACCGCGTCTTTGGAGATGATCATGGAAATGAAAAGTGAAGCGACAGCATTGAGCGGTGTACAAAAACATGTGGTGTATCGTGTCCACAATGAGAGTGCGACAGTTCCTCGACAGTTTTAGGACGACTTTAGCTACCGGTAAGTACCGGTAGTAGAAATGGTTTGATCGTCATGCATCACAACTGCTTAAATTCGGGTTCAAAGCCGTGGACTACGTATGATCTAACCGCCAGAGTATATTACTTTTCGCGCTGGAATGGATAGAGGAGTCGATAATACAATGCGTGCTTGGTGCTGTTGCTATAACAGCTGGCACGAGACAAGGCGACGTGGATGGGTCATCCTTCCAACCCGTTGGACAGAGTGTCTACAGCCGAGTCCAGACTCTATTATATATTATAGTTCATTTCCAAATCTGCTGCAATGACGCGAGCATTCCTCGTCTGGAGTGGCCTCGCCATTGTGGCGCACCTCGGCTTTCTCATCACCGTCGGCTCGTCCAAGCTCCTTGTGTTCATATCCTGCTACTCGGTGCTCTCGTGCTCAGCTCTCGGCCTCGTCAGTACTCTTGGTACTCTGATTTATTGCCGCTATAAATCCCTCAACTTGGCTCGCTCCGGAATCATCTATGACATCATACTAA